CCGCGACTTTGAGCTCCTTACGGGCTACCCGCTCCTCACAGCCGCGTACGAAGCCGCGGTCGCGCGCCCGGCGTTCAAGCAGACGATCAAGGAACCCGAGTTTTTCATCAACGCATATGCCAAGTACGCCAACCCGTAATTTTCCTAATGTGTGCACTCCTCCCATGCGAGTTCGATGACACGTTTGGAATTTCGAGGCGAAATGCTATCTGACTGGCCAGAACGAGAGTCATACCGGCAGCGATAGGATATCCTTCGGATGCGAGATCACGGTAGTGGAAGGCTGTCCAGTAGGAGGCACAGTCCTGTATTCTCTTTCTCTTCGTTGTCAAGAAATAGCTACTTCCCGAGATTAACGATAGACTACATATAACGTTATATAGTCTTCGGGAAGACACAACATCTTTGCTCCTGGATTGAATCAGGACCAGATCTGTACTCTGGGGACTCTACAGTCTGCTCTGCATTGCGTTTTGAAATTTTTGGAGTGTGACATAGTGTGGTCAAAAACAATATAAGACAATTTTCTTACGCATTGGCAAACTTGGCATAGCCCTGGATGTAGTACTCGGGCTCCTTGGTCGTTTTCTTGAACGCCGGGCGTTGGCTCGACGCCTCGAGCGCCGCCGAGAGGAGCGGGAGGCCCTCAAGAATGTCAAAGTCGCGGTAGTGCTTGAGGATGTGCTTGAAGCGGAAGAGGAACGTGACAATGTTGAGCTCGGCGCTGCTGAACTTGTCGCCGAGCAAGTACGGGCCCTTGGACCGAAACTCGGCCGCGTGGTCGCGGTAAATCTTTTCGAGTTCGCTCAGCGATTCGTGCAAGTTGGCCTCGAGCTCGGCCTTCTTGGCCGGGTCCTTGTTGCGCAAAAGGGCGTAGAAAGGGCCGGCCTCAAACTTGGCTTGGGCCAACTGCGCGAGCGCTGCGTGCTCGGGAAAATCGCGGTTGTGGATCGCACCGTTGTTGTACTTGGCATCCAAAAACTGCGCAACGATCGCCGACTCGTACACGGCGTAGCCATTGTCGAGCAAGAACGGCACCGTGTGGTACCGGTTAAAGTTGGCCACGTAGCTCGCCGGCATGTCGCCGAGGTCAATGTTGACGATCTGGAAGGGCACGTCGACTTCGGCGGCAGCCCACAGCGCGCGGTGGCCAAAGGGACACACAAAGTTGTTGAAGAGATGCACCTTGCCGTCTTGAGTCTTGAAGGAAGCGAGCTCGGCGTCCGAGAGCGCCGTGTACTCGATCACATTGAGGTCGGCCGTCGACATGGGTTCTTGTTCTGGTTTGCTGGAAATTGGAAAATGACGATCAGTGAGACAGGATTTGGCCGCGGGATTTTTCAACATTGACTCTTTGGATTTGTATGCACGGCGTTGACCAATCAAAACGACGAAGAGGCCAGCGAGCAGTCGCAATGGACCAATCCGAGAGCGGTATTCGTCCAACAGCACGCCAACCCGTTCCGGCGAAGTCGGCGCCCCAACCTTCCGTGCTTCGTCGGGCGGAACCCAGGGAACAAACTTGGGTTGAACTTCCTCCGACAACTATGTACTAGAGTACCAGGTATTGCCCAAGGAAGCAACGCGAGGAGGCACGAGGAGGTATCGACAAGGCATGTGAGATTGTGTTGGTTGAAGGATTATGTTGTAGGCGTCGGGGATGCTGAAGAGCCTCGACCCGCCCGCGACAGGTTTTGTTGCATGGACTATGAAGCTAACTTTTGTAGGTCTGAGGTCTGTGCATTAATGCGACGTGGGCAAATCCGTAGCATCTCGTTCGGAGCTGATAATAACGAGATGCCGCCCAGCTACGTCGAAAAGTTCAACCGGTACCACACCGTGCCTTTCCTTGTGTACGAAGGGTACCCTGTGTACGAGTCGGCGATCGTCGCGCAGTTCTTGGATCCAAGTACAACGACGGGAAGCTCCACAGCCGCGACAGCCCCGAGCGCGCGGCGTTGGCGCAGCTGGCCCAAGCCAAGATTGAGGCTGGCCCGTTTTTCGCCCTTCTCCTCAACCAAGACCCGGCCATGAAGGACAAGCTCGAGGCCAACCTGCGCGATTCGCTTGGCGAACTGGAGAAGATCTACCGCGACCACGCGGCCGACTTTCGAGCCGACGGCCCATATCTTCTCGGCGCCGACCTCAGCAGCGCCGAGATCAGCATCGTGCCGTTCCTTTTCCACTTCAAGCACGTTCTGGGTCACTACCGCGACTTTGACGTGACCAAGGGCTTTCCGCTTCTCACGGCGGCGTACGAAGCCGCGATCGCACGCCCGGCGTTCAAGCTCACAGTGCGCGACCCCGAGTACTATATCAATGCGTATGCCAAGTACGCCAACCTGTGAACAAGTAGTACTCCTGTGACGACTCGCTAGTCGCTGTAGTATTTGGATGACTAAACCACCAACATGTTTCACATTCATCTAAAAACTCAAACGACTCGTGTAGTATTGACACACGACAGATACAAGCTAGAATGTCTACAACCCCAACGCTTTGGCAAACGCAAAGCTCAAGGACGCGCCGGCCACGAGACCAAAGTTGACAAAGAAGCTTGCAAACATGCCGGCGCCACTGCGCTCGGCGTCGTCGACGCAGTCGTTGACGAATACAACGGTGAGCGCGCCGCCGTAGCCGTGCGTCCAGCTAAAGACCGCGACCACAAAGTACGTGATTGCATCGTGTGTAAAGACGGCGTTGCGGGCCAAGCACACAAAGACCGGAATGCAAAGGCATCGACCGAGCACGAGGCTCCATACGTTCTGGCGCGTAAAACAGAGCTGGTAGCGCGCGCAGTACCGACCCAAAGCATCAAAGAGCGCATCCCAGCCCATGAGGAGCAGCGGGAACCACCCGGACGCGTTCAAACTCGGGACATTGAAGCTCGCAATGTCCGTCAAGAGCCCCGGCCACACGAGCATCGTTGAGAAGTTGAGCAGCACGACAAGAAGGCCGTTGAAGCGGATCTTGCGCAGGAGCGTTGGCTGCAGCACCTTGTGCGTCTGCGGCGTCGCATGCACGGACGCGCTTCCGGGGAGGCGCAAAAGCAGGATATATGAGGCAACGCCAATGGCCATCGTGGCGGCGCCCGTGTAGAAATACGCCATGGACGCCGGCACGGTCGCATCGCTGGGAAACGCACCTTTGCTCATACAGCGGTACGCGGTCGTGAGAAAGATCGAGAGGCCAATGCCGAGCTGGACATGTTCAATGCTGCCGCTCGGGTACATGGCAGCGAGGCCAAAGAGCGACGAGCCGGCGACCGCGGCGCCAATGGCCACGACGACAGAGCAGAGAAGCACCATGATTTCGTGCTGTATCTCCGAAGTCAGGACATAGTACGACGCGGGCAGCAGCAAAAGCACGACCAGCTGCGAGCAAAAGCCGCCCATGATGCGCCACCGGAACGACTGGCGCGCGCCGATCGCAAGGAGGCCAAAGATGACGACGACGTTGGCAATGTAGTAGGCAAACGAGATGCGAAAGTTGATGTTGAATGATGGAAAAAGCAGCCGCCAATAGTCGACAGGCTGCACAAGCATGCAAAACGGCGTATAGTAGCAGAGCCCGAGGAGCAGAAAGAGCTGATTGGCGCGGCGCGTCTCGGCGACCGACCAGACGACCGGGCTGCACTCAACGTTGTCGCTCGGTGTTGACACGGACGCGTACGGCTCCATTGTAATAATCGCGTTGTGTTGGTCACCAAGTGCTTTGTACGTTGCGGGCGTCCAGCAGCGCCGGCGATCCCACACGCGTGTGATTGGTCCATCTTGTGAGCTGGCGTACGTTGATTGGTGCATTCCGAGAGGTACCCTGCGTGATTGGTATCCGTCGCCAAGGATACCAATCGAGACGGCATTCACATGGGTGCCACCGGTGTAGACGCAAAAAGCCCGTGTGCGCGCCATGAACGTAGCGACGATAGACGAAGAGTAGACACTACGAGGTGGCGCCGAGGGGGCTCGTGTCATTTGGTGGTCGGAAAGCGATGCTAGGACTGCGTCGTGTCGACTCTCGCGCCGTTTTGCAGTCCACAGGCGATGACGAGAATGCTACGTTGTCGCCTTTCGGGATCTGGTCGGTCGGCGCGTGGACCATCATCAAGTGGACGTGTGCGCAACGATCGCGTGCATATGCAGCGGTGGACGTGGCATCCCTTAGACGAGCAAAGATGAGGCTGTCCGTCATCTTCGTTTTTACGCGTCAAAAAACAAGAAAATGACCAATCCTTGATGGCACACAAGAGGTGTCTGCCCGTCATCGTCCCACGGCTTGGTCCGTTGCGTGGACGCTGTACTCAGTTCCTATGCTGCGGTCCCAAAATGAATCTTGACCGACGTCAGTGGTGGTGCCCGCCATGCCCAACAAAGAGCTTCGTCTCGTCGCGCGACTTGAGTGCCTCGAGCGCCGCTGCCGAGAGCGACGTAAATGCAACCATAGGTAGCTCGCAGCCGCGAGGCATGTTGAACTCTGCTGGTCGACCGACCAAGGCGCGGTGTTCGGGAACCCTCGGCACGAGCATTCGAAGCCTGAAGTAAGCGCGATCGCATGATCGCCGCAAGTACGTAAGCGTAGCGTCATCGACCGACGCGCCCAACGCGATGACGCGGCGCTTCAATGCGATACTAGTAGCATGTTGGCTGCGTCACCAATGCTACTGCACACGAGTATAAATAGACCTACCGGTACCTCAATAATGAACAACTTGTCTTCGCTCTCCCACACCAAACACACCCAAAGGACTCGGAGCTACTTATGCCAAACTATGATACATGTATACGTAGGATAAACCGAGTAAAGCTAGTCGCCTTCGACAACTCTATTGAAGCATCCTACTTGGCAGATCGTTCTAGTCGCTAGAAGCTTACGGCCACGGCATCTCACCCTTGGCGACCTGCGCGCTGATCTCGAGACTGATGACGCTGCCAGCCTTGGGATACAACGCCGTCATGGCCGCAATAAGGTCCGTGCTGTTGGCAGCCTTGGGCGTCTCCATGTCAAAGTCGCGAATGTACTTGGCCGTGAACGCGGGCGAGTCAATGTCGGCGACATCACCGACGATCGCGTGGCCCGGCACGATGACGCTGGGCTTGAGCGCCTCGATCTCCGCCAACGCATTGAGCCACTCGGTGTGCGACTCGGGCGTCTGCGTGTCGGCCATGAACGCGTGGATGTTGTTCTCGAGCAAGACACCGCCGACGACGGCCTTGAGGTCTTGGATCCACACGTAGCTGCGGGCCGCGGGACCACGGATCTCGAGCGAGTGGCCTTCAAGCGTGAGCTTGTCGGTCTTCAAGACGTCCGGAAAGATGGTCTTGGCGGGCGCGTCAGCACCAAGCACAGGGGCCCACGTCTTGAGCTTGGCGTCGACCGTCTCCTTGATGTGCTCGACGACAGGCGCCGTGGCCACGATGGCAGCGTCCGGGAACGCGGCGCGGATCGTGTCGAGGCCAAAGTAGTAGTCGGGGTCGCCGTGGCTCACGTAGATGGTGGTGAGGTGCTTGCCGCTGGCCTTGACGAGGTCGACGACGGCCTGCGCCTGGGACTTGCCAAACTGCGCGTTGACGAGGATGGCGTCCTTCTGACCCGACACGAGCACGGACGAGACGGGGAAGATGGCAGAAGCACCGGGGTTGTACGAGGTGAGCTTGAGGGCCGAGTCGCCGCAGTAGGTCGTGGCGGAGGTGGCGGCGGCCGTCATCAAGGTGAGCAGAGCAGTGAGGGGGTTCATGATGTGTTTGGTGTCGAGCAAATGCAGGAATGCGGTGTTGGGCACTTTGGTTACCATACTTGTTGTCGCTGAGTCGCGAGCCGTAGGTTCCCCACCGCTCACCTGAAGGCCGTGAAAAGCATCGTTCAAATGAAGACTCGGTTGAACGTATTGGGAGCGCCAGTCTTCCGTCGTCGTCACGGGAAGGAATGTCTCTGGCTTGGAGACGGTGTGCAATTTTGTGTGACTGCTACAGCGGGTGACATTGTCTCCGACTTTATGCGTGAAGGAGAACAGCCTTACGATACTCTGATGAGCTGTTGCTCTGTTACTCTCGTGTCTCGGCCAAGCCAAAGCACCAAGCTGGATCCAAAACAACGAGCTCGACGAACGCTATGTGTATACTTCGGTAGTCACAGACCAGCCTCTGTTACCGAGTCAACAATAGCTACCTCGGGACGAGTTGATGCGAAGGAAACTTATGGAGTGCATTGTGTGTATCGGGATTCGAGGTACTTGATAACTCACTGCACACTAAGTACACACTTTGTCGCAAGACAACACGACGTCCATCGACAAGATCGATATTGGCATCGGAAACCCACTATGACGACAGACATGAAAGACCTCGGCTAAAAGACCAACCGGTGTGGATGCCCTAAGGGCATCCACACACGTAAGGCCCTAAGATCTTGACTATTCAACGCAGTATCTTGGTGTTCACAAACTACTCTCGTTCTTGATAATCTCGCTGAGAGTCATGGACTCGACTTCTCACGGCGAAGCTCTTTCAGGCGTCGACGCTTCGTCTCTTGTCCGGATACAATGGCCGTGTATGGTGTATCACACAATGACATTGAAGAGCCGGCCAGATCTTACAGTAGTGATTGAAGACGTCAGATCTTATTCCTAGCAGACCAGAAAGTACTGAGCTATCCAACACCGTTCTACGTCACTCTCCGCCCGTAAAGCCTTCTCAAGGGTCCCTACCATCGACGCTTGCATTGATCTTCTCTCCTTCGACCGCTGCTTCGACCGTTCGGGTTTGCTCGTCTTCAATGTGACAGGGTCGTTCGAACATATGTTGTCGCACGTCTTCCTTTGAACGACTGGAATCATCGACGACGAGTGTGTCGCGCGGCTTCAGCGATCGGCTCCCAACACCGCATTCCTGCATTTGCTCGACACCAAACACATCATGAACCCCCTCACTGCTCTGCTCACCTTGATGGCGGCCGCCGCCACCTCCGCCACGACCTACTGCGGCGACTCGGCCCTCAAGCTCACCTCGTACAACCCCGGTGCTTCTGCCATCTTCCCCGTCTCGTCCGTGCTCGT